TCTTCTAAATGTTCACAACAATGATAATCTCAAAATTTGTATTTAGTATATTATCAAATGTTTCATAGAATGTCATCTTTCTTAGGCTTATAGGAACAATTATAAAATGAGTGATTTATTAAAGAGAACCAACTGGGGAAATATTGGGGAAATGGTTGAAATCAAATGTCCTTGGTTTCCCAAGCAGCAGGTACATGGGCTCAGCAGTGGGTCTGCTGACATAATATAAAGACAGGATCCAAGAGAAAGGACTTTGGGAAGGGCAAGCAGCCAAACTCCTCTGCAGGAAGAAGTCTGCCAATTGCTGTGCAAACAAATCCTCAAAGATGAAATCAAACCCTCTTGGTGTCTATTGGAATAGTGTTTAGAAACAAGTCAAATATTTAGCAATTGAACCAGACTAGCTTATCAGCAATGGCATACTAGGAATCCAGATTAGCATAAGTGAATGTAGACGCGGCTCAAAACAAAGTGCTAGCAACGAGCACTCTCAATTTGGCCTCTTACTATTTCATTCAAAGAAGATCTTGTGAATAACTCTTGATGATTTTTGATAACTGCTTTATGTCATGTCAGCAGCCCCACCGCTGAGCCCATGTACCTACTGCTTGTGAACCCAAGGACATTTGATTTTGTGTATGGTATAACTTTTCCAATGCCTATGATGTAGTAAATATCAATAAGTAATATTCGATATTTAGGAAATATTGATTTTATTAGGCTAAGTAAATTATCAGTTAACAAAATTAAGACTAAAATTTAAAAATGATATTTATATAACTTTTCTTCTATAAACTGCAATTATTAAATAATAGTAGCTATGATCTGAATAACATGACTGAGAGTCATACGATAGTAAGTTGTCTTCTGACCTTAGTTATGTAGACTATAATGTGAATCTATGGTGTTCATCGTATAATAACGAAACTCAAAGGGAACATAGTCAATGTATCAGCTTGCATCAGTGTGTCAAATACAGTAGTTTATTCTGATATTGTTTTATTTATACAGGGCAACTTAACGTGATGCCACTGGCTTTATCATCTCACATGGACCTTACTTGCTAATCTATCCAATGAACACCACCACTTTTATGGCCCAGAGAAGCAGGGCCAGGTTAGTGGGCATGCAAAACTATACACACATTTAAAGGGCTCCACACATTATGTTGGTTGTTGGTTCTCCATAAAGTGAATATTTACTTTAAACATAGAATTAAGCTATATGTATAGCTTAATATATATATTTATTTATATATATATACTTATATATATATATATAGTCCCTTCATTGTCACTAATATCCTTACTGACATAGAATCAAGAATTTGTAATTAATGATTCATTGTGATAGAACTGTAAAAAATTCTTTTCACAGTAAATAAAGGAGTAGGAAGCAATTTTATCAAGACATCATTGGAAAACAGAATTAGAGATGAATTATTTCCTATTTGAACATTAAGCCTGCTACTGAGCCAATCACTATATGAGTATCCAAATATAATTTTATGAGCTCCTAACATGCATTCTTTTGTCCCATTAAAATTCTTTTTATTTATGTATTATATTTATTTGAAAGGTAAGAGAGACAGAAAGAGAGACACCATCCATCTGCTGGTTCACTCCCTAAATGCCCTTTTTTTTTCTCATTTAATTTCTTTTTAAAATATTTTCCCTAAATAAGCATTTTATTTAAGGAATACAAACTTCATGCATTTCATAAGTAAAACTTTAAGAATATAGTGATTCTTCCCACCTTACCCACCCTCTGACCCATACTACCACCTCTCCTCCACCTCCTCCCTCTTCAATTCCCAGTCCCATTCTCCACTAAGATACATTTTCAAATAACTTTATAAACAGAAGACCAACTCAATACTAAATAAAATGTTCAACAATTTGTACAAAAAAAAAAAAGGAAAAAAACCCAGTTCCTCAACAGATGAAACAAGGGCTGTTCAAAGTCATTGCATCTTATAGTTAATTTCATTTCTTTTTTTTTTTTTTGAAACTTAATTAATGTTAAAGAAGCATCTAAGAATGACACATCTTTTGTGAGCACTTAGATGTAACTATAACCTGTGAGACATAAGAATACCCTCCACTTAATACATTACAAGAAAGTAAGTCCTTGAGAACAAGTTTTATCATTAATTAAGGAAGCACCTAAGAAACCAAGCAATGGAGTTGGACACTTGGCATAACTAAAAGTTATGAGGGGCTGGTGCCATGGCTCACTTGGTTAATTCTCCACCTGTGGCACCGGCAACCCATATGGGTGCTGGGTTCTAGTCCCAGTTGCTCTTCTTCTAGTCCAGCTCTCTGCTGTGGCCCAAGAAGGCAGTGGAGGATGGCCCAAGTGCTTGGGCCCTGCACCCACATGGGAGACCAGGAGGAAGCACCTGGTCCTTGGCCTTCGGATTGGTGCAGTGCACTAGCCGTAGCAGCCATCTGGGGGGTGAACCAACGGAAGGAAGACCTTTCTCTCTGTCTCTCTCTCTCACTGTCTAACTCTGCCTGTCAAATTAAAAAAAAAAAAAACTTATGAGACATAAGAAATATGCTCTACTTAATACACTAAAACAAAATAAATCTTTGAGAACAAGTTTTATTGTTAACCCTCATAATACAATTCTTTGAATACAGAGGTCCTGCATGGGAAGTTCCTGCACAGTGTTTCCTATTGTTAATTTAACACTTAATGCTCTTATATATGACATCATTGATCACCCAAGGCCCTTGACATAAGCTGCCTAAACTATGGAAACCTTTTGAATCCACAAACTCCTTCAGTATTTAGACAAGGCCATAAGCAAAGTGGAAGTTCACTCCTCCCTTCAGAGACAAGTACTTCCTTATTTAATGACCACTTATTTCCTACTAGGGTTTCACCCACTGAGGTCCTTCATATAGGATATTTTTTGCCACAGTGTCTTGGCTTTCCAACATGCATTCTTTATACATGCAAAGTTTATATATAAGTTTTTAGTTCTTTGAAAATGTTTTTACATCAATTAATTTTCAGACTATTGAAATTTTTTCTTCTATATAGATCCAGATGTGTTTTGGTTTAAGAGGAGAAATGATACAGCTTGCCTGGTCTATAATCACACGTATTGCAAAACTTCACTGAAACTCATACTTTAGAGCCCACAGGAAGTAATAATTCATTATTTTTCCTAAAATTGCTATTCTAAGATCATTTATATATTGAGGCACTACTTTGATCTGGGAAACACATAGGCCTAAATAATTCACACTATGTTCTTATAAGGATGAGATCAGTCCTCCTAAGGCACATTAAACTGGGGGGGAGTATAAATAAATATATTAATTTATATAATCAAAAGAATTCCATTTTCTATTATTCAGTAATTTTTAAATGTTATGCATAGACAAAGTGTGAGCAGTCACATTATGCTATGGAATTAATCGCCCTATTGTAATTAAAAGAAATGACATAGGGCAAGCATTGTGGTGCAGCAGATTAAGCCACCACCTGTGATTCCAGCAGCTCCTGTCTGAGCACAGGTGTTAGTTAGTCCTGGTTGTTGTGCTTCTGAGCTGGTTCTCTGCTAATGCGACCAGGAAAGTCACAGATGATAGCCTAAGTACTTGGGCCCCTGGCACCCTTGTGAGAAACACAGATGGAGTTCCTGGTTCCTAGTTCCTGGCTCCTGGCTTTCACCTGAACCAGCTCAGGGTGCTGTGTTGTTTTGGGTAGAGAACCAGTGGGTAGATCTCTTTCTCTGTGTGCCTCACTCTCTCTCTGTTACTTTGCCTTTCAAATAAATAATATAAATCTTTATAACAATATAAAATTCATGCAAATAGACATATAATTTAACAGTAGTATATGAGAAATTATGAGAAAAATTATTGCTTTTAGTTAAAATCAATTAGTTATTCTTATTGTGAGGTCATTCAATATTAGTCATATGGCAAATATATTCATAACGTATTTCTTTTGTACAGAGAGACTATTAAGCAGTTCATTTGTACCATATTGAATTCTTTTTTCCTCCCGATTATCATCGCCTGTTAATGGAATACTCTTGCCTCATTTCCAAATTCAAAACCTCAGAACATTCTTGCCCCAAGTGTCATGCATTCAGGCTGTGAATGCAGTCGGCCACGCATTTCACTTAATGACTTTGGCCAAATACCTGTTGAAATTCCATCACTTAAAAGAAAAAAAAAACTGAGGCCCAGAGAGATGGACTTTTTACCTAGCTAATATCTAACAAAGAAACTTTTTAACACAATTAGGGCCAGAATCAAGATTTGATGTTCTTAAGATCATTCATAATTACACTGTTTCTCTGCTTCTGTAGATTGTACCTGCAAGATTTTCCTCATATCTGTTTCCTCTGTTTCAATTACCTTTTCTTTAAACATTAATTCTACCAATATTCATTCAGTAATGTCCTAATTGGTACCTTAATTTCATTCTCTGAAATCATGCTACATATTACTGCTAGTTTCATCCAGAAAATTCCCAGTTCTTACCATGCCTTGCCCACTGCTCCACATTTTAAGACATTCTGCTCTACAGAATGTTGTCTGAGTTCCTTATGTGGGCATTTGCAATCTTCAGCAATCTACCCATATCTAATTCCTGACATTCGTTGTAGACAGCGTTCAACACAGTTATTCAGTTTCTATTGCATACCTGATATCGTGCCAGGTAATGTCAAAAATGAATGTCTGGTGAAAAATATTCTATGGGAGAAAATCTGATTGTTTTATAGAGGTCTGTCCAGAAAAAGTTAAAAGCATGTAGACAAACATTTGTACTGGAAGTACCTGTTTTGGATTGATGTCTAAATTAATAGGTAGACTCAGCTTCAAATCTGTCAGTGACCTTTGCATTATCTGAGTATACGCCCAAGATGAGTACACACATTTTATGTTTTATGATCTTGATGAAGTGTAATAGATCTACCAAACATCATTTCAATAAAAAGAGAGGTTAAAAGTTATTTCTTAGTAACAGCTTACCTGGAGATATAATGTTGTCTGTGTTTCTTTGAGTCCGGCCTATCAGAACAGTGGTAACATTCACTGTTGGTTTCTTGAGTGTATTAGGTTTCTTCAACCAGGACTTGACTTGCTTCTGAGACCTGGCAGCATTTGCCGGGTTACCAGACAATGATCGATCTATATACCAAGTTAAATTGGACAGGGCAGCTTGAGTTTTTATCTCAATTATCGGTTCCACAGATTTTGTTAGAGCTTTCTGAAGAAGGTGAATATCTGGTAAGGAACCTTTTATCCACTTAGGTATGGTAGCATTCAGTTCTGATATATTTGTGGAAGCACCGTGACACATTATTAAGACTTCATTGAGAGTTTTGTTAAGTAATGAGAAGTTAATTGAAAGACGGATGGATTTTGCTTCCAGTGCCTTAAATCTGGAATTTAATACCTGAAGTTGAAGTGCTTGGTCTCTATCATTAGTGGCCACACTACCTTTTTTAAGTGAAATATAATAAGGTATGAGTGTCTGGGTCACTTTAGATTCAATCTCTTGCAACTTGGTTTCAAAATGTTTGGAAATCTTGGTGGCCAAGAGTATTTTTTCTTCCAAATGACTCATATTTTGCTGATATTTTGCCATTTGGGACGTGGTCTCATTGAACATTTGATAAAGTTTCTGAAAATTTAACTGACCTAATTTTTCATCTTTAGGAAAATACGCGAGAGCCTTGGCAACTTGCAAAACAAAGTCATATTTCTGATTGTCATTAACCAAAATCTCAATAGAATCATTCAGGCGTTGAAACTGAGAAATAAATGCAAAAATGGTTTCCATATTTTGGGTACATTTATCATGGATCTCAGGATTATACTTAATAGCACTCAAAGTCTCTTTTAGCACATAGTTATCTTGAATGAAGTCAATGGCATTATTGATAACAGTCATTGTCTTATTTAGACCATCTTCCATTTCTAAGGCATATTCATTGATCCTTCTTTCGAAGGTATCACCACGACTTTGTACTTCATTTCTAAGTAAGGTGTGTCTTTTTGTAAGTTCTTTGACAAGAAAATTTAGACTATTGACAGCATTTGTTAGATTTTCCAACCTTTTCCTTGTAACTGCTGCCTCCTTTGGTTGTTCATATGTCATTGTCTGTCTAAGAGATGCTCCCTGCTCGAGCAAAGGTTGAAGAATCTCCATGTCATATGTCAAGTCATTTAGTTGTTCACTCATTTGATTCATCTTACTGTCCATTGGAAACAGAACCTCAGCCAAAGTTTGGTTTAAAACATGCAAATTCTCTTCTGTGTCCCTAAGTTGAAATTTAAAATCATTTCTGCACTTGGATAACAAGTCTTCACACTCACCCCTGACAAATTCTTTCCCCGTCTCCACAGTGATGGTGAGATTGTTAATCTTGCTGTCCTGGATGTGCAAATCATGAAACATTTGCAGCAGCATCATACTGTGCTTCTTCATATTCTCCTTTAGAGTAGACATGTATTCAGTGACATTACTGCTAACGGACTCGCCAGCTGGCACATTCTTCTGGTCTGATAAAAGCTGCTCATGCACTTCCTTCATTTTAGAAAGAGTCTGATTGAGGGATTCATAATACAGAAGGCTCCTAGAGCGTTCCTGTGCTAGAGCATCTTCTAAACGAATCTGCTTTGCTTCTAGTTCTTTAATTGGCTTCTCACATGTGAAGGTCATTTCATGCCTTACATCCACAATGTGATTTTTTAGATCTACTATATCAGGCAAAGTAGGTCTATTTTCTTGAATTAAAACTGACTTTTGCTGGGCTGTTGCTGAAATCACAGATTCATTAACTTGTTTAATTAATTGCCGCGTGTTTTCAAGATCCTCTGATAGACTTGATACAGTTTTGAAGAGCTGAGCGACAGTCTCTTGCATGTCATTTTGAAAAATTTTAAATTGTTCTCTTACTATGTCTGTTACCAAATCATTGAAGCTTTTGGATTTTAGACCTAGAAAAAGAAGTTAAGAACAATGAATGGCGCATGGTTTTAATCATATAAGACTTCAGATATCTCTAATGAGATAAACAGTTTGAGACTAAATACTTGAGAAGATATAATAATAAAAATACTTAAACACATTTACATACAAAAATGTGGAAAAAAAACCCTGTAATTTGTGGGAGACTTTTACCTTCTTAACTTTCAAGTCTGAGAGAAGCCAGTTGCAATGTAAAACATACTACAATCCTAAAACTAGAGCTCTGTAGTCAAGACATGAAGGAACTGCTACTGGCTTCAGGAGTAGAGATACATATGCACCAACTCTTGTTCTGATCTCACATGAAAATAAATGGCGTCAGGCTTTTTGCCTTAGTAAATTATATCAGGTGTTAGCACATGACCACGTTATTAGCTTTCTAGTAATTAGGTTTCAGAGCTTATGTTTTGCGCTTATAAGAGCTAATAAATTGACTGCAGAGGAGAACCTTAATGAGATTCCCAAGTGAGGAAAAATATGAAGTAATATTCACAAGATTTAACAATGGTTTATAATAACAATAAAATCATAATAATGAGAGGCTTGAGGATCACAAAACTAAGTCCACCTCAAATAAAAGCAAGAATTCAAGATAGACTAGATTATCATAATATGACATTAATTATTACAGTGAGAGAAAAGGAAACTTGCCACAAATGCAACACTTAACAGTATCTACAGTGTGAGAAAGCTTGGCTTGATTATAACCAGAATGTGGTGGGCATTAAAGGTAATTTTAGGGTATTGGACTGTTCAGAACTACTTAGAATAAAAAAAAATGTAAAATCCAGTAAAAAATATAACATATGCTTGTTGTAGAACTATAGTATCGGCCGGCACCGTGGCTCAACAGGCTAATCCTCCGCCTTGCAGCGCCGGCACATCTGGTTCTACTCCCGGTCGGGGCGCTGGATTCTGTCCCAGTTGCCCCTCTTCCAGGCCAGCTCTCTGCTGTGGCCAGGGAGTGCAGTGGAGGATGGCCCAAGTGCTTGGGCCCTGCACCCCATGGGAGACCAGGAGAAGCAGCTGGCTCCTGCCATCGGATCAGCGCGGTGCGCCTGCCGCAGCGCGCTGGCCGCGGCGGCCATTAGAGGGTGAACCAATGGCAAAGGAAGACCTTTCTCTCTGTCTCTTGCACTGTCCACTGTGCGTGTCAAAAAAAAATAAATTAAAAAAAAAAAAACTATAGTATCTAGTTGTGGACACACCTAAGTTGAAGATATGTCTATTCAATTCAAAAGGACTGTAATACAAAATATAGTTAACATAATACAAAACACTTTAAATCAGAAAGTTTATACAATGGGATATTTCCGTAGTTAAAGCTACTATGTAGCCTATTCAAGAAAGATCATTATTGGATAAAAATGAACTTAGGCTCTTCATGTCTTTATTTCATAATCAAGTTTTCAAAAGTATTGAATATGCATGGGGGACATACTTAAAATATTGTGAAAGAGCAATTCTAAAAATAGAACAATGTATTGCTAGAGCACCTTGATATTACTTAGTCTGGTACAAAGACAATGCTGGAAGTGTGGGTGGTTTATGTGGAGTTATATTTCCCTAGAAATCCTACACTCTAAATATCAATGTTGCTAAATGAAAAGAAAAAGGAAAAAAGGAAAAGGTATTTTATTTTACTTTTTCTAAGCCTATTTGAAACAGAAATAAGTTTGAAAATATAGGGGCCAGTGCTTTGGCTCAGTGAGTTAAACTGCCACCTGCTGTCATCCCATGTGAGCACAGGTTTGAGTCCTGGCTGCTCAACTTCCTATCCAACTCTCTGCTATGGCCTGGGAAAGCAGTACAAGATGGTCCAAGTCCTTGGGCTCCTGCCACCTACTTTGGAGACTCTGAAGGAGTTCCAGACTCATGGATGTTTTGGCCATTTGGGATGTGAACTAGCAAATGGGAGATTCTCTCTCTCTCTGACTCCTTTTTAAAATAAATAAATCAAAAACTTTTTTAAAAGGCCGAAATATGTAGGTAAAGATCATGTGTAATGGAAAATACCAATAAAAACATGTGAAGTATGAAGTAGTAATCAATGACACACAGCACCAAAGTACCAAGGAAAGGATAAATTAATTAAAAGGCTAAGTAGCCACAATTATGAGAAATTATATGGAAACAGCCTCAGTTGTGTCTAATAATATGGATAATCACAACAGAAAGGTTTAAAGTATTTTTATCTTCTAAATTTTGCTTAGACTGTTATCCATTTATCCAGCAAATATTCATTAAATACATTCTATATGCTACATATAAAATGAAATTTGGAAAATAAGATTTCTGATCTCAAATATGTTAGCTTCACTTAATGTACAGTGATAGCAATGGTAAAGTTATTTTTATTGCTGTTTCTATAGGAATATTAAGCTATTTCCTAGTTATTAAAGTTGACTTCAATTATCATGGCACCAAAAACTTGATAAAATACTATAAAATGTTTATGGCTAGGGATTAAACCTTCTTTGATTTTATAGCCCCATATTTATACTTGAAGATGTTTACAAAATTGAAATAAAAAAAAACCTTTAATCTTTACTGAACTGGTTAATTAGTTATGGAAATGACAATAGATGCTTAACTTTAGTAAACTAAAAACTACATAAATCAAAGTCTGAATAGGAATAGCAGTAGGTAAGAACAGATTCTTTTTCAATGCAATTAGATAAATGTGAGGTACTGTCACTATTGTGCTTTAAAACTTTTATGAAAAGATATGTGGGAGAAAGGATAAAATCCGGGCAGTCTGCGAAGATACCAAGCAGAGTAGTAGTGTAAGGATTTGCTTTTGAATAAGGAGCTTTTCAGTTAACCCTTCCACAGTTTGTTACTAAAGAAGATTTGTGCAAGACTTTGATTTTGTGAAATATATCAAAATGTTTTATGTTCATATCTGACTGGTCACATTTAAAAAATTCTACCTGATTCTGCTTTACATAATTTACACGTTTCTACTTTTTAAACAGATTCTATTGTGTTTGACAAGCACAGATAGATTGGATATCAAACACATTGGCCTGTCCATCTCTAGTTGTGCATGGCCTTTCTGTACCATTCAGCTATCTCTGACGATTGAGACAGTATTTTCAACAGTTTCTCAGGCTACTGCTGATTAGGCAGTGTTTCTCACCTTGGTTGTAAAATAAACAAGGGAAGAAGTGGTGGTTATACTAGACAAACACAGCTCCTTGGGGGTGGGCTTAGTTTTTGTTTCCTGTAAGGATATTCATTAAGCACAAGCCCTCTGGTTCTCATAATTAATAACGGTGCTCAGTACACAATTAATTGCTCCTATCAAGGAGGGAATTTCATCATTGTTGCTGTTGCCATATGTGGTTTATTTTTTTCCTTTGTCATTGCCACTAGTTTTTTAGTAGATTAGTAGGTCACAAAAACCAATGAGGGGCCTAGTGCTCTGAGATCATGATAATCAAATTTTGCTAAACAAATTTCATTCAGATGGCTATGATCAATTATTTACTGTTCTTATTTGACTTCTTTCTCGTGTTTTCGCTGAAGGGGGAAAATGTTCCTCTTTCATGCTCAGGCACTGGGGAGTTTTGGTTACAGAAGATGTGTAGAGAAGGAGCTTTCTCAGTGGTTGAACAGCACCAAATATTATATGTTAAGAAAATCATACTATGAATAAGTTATGAAAGATCCCAAATCTCCATCTATTACTTTTAAACTTTGAAACACAATAGAGAAAACATAATATAAGAATGATATAGAGGTCAACATTGTGGCATAGCATATAAAATTGAGGCCTGTGATGCCAGCATCCCATATGTGCACCAGTTCAAGTCCTGGCTACTCCACTTACAATCTAGCTCCCTGCTAATGTCCTGGAAAAAGCAGTGGAAAATGGTCCAAGTGCTTGAGACCCTGCCACCTATGTGGGAGACCTGGATGAAGCTCCTGATCTTTGATTTTGGCCTGGCTCAACCCTACTTGGGAGTAAACAAGTAGATGGAAGATCTCTTTCTCTGTCTCTCCCACTCTCTCTCTGTAATTCTTTCAAATGAATGAAGAAATCTTTAAAATAAAAAACAAATGACATAAATGGAATTGTAGAATGAGTATTTCTTGTAAAAAATAAAGCACAGTGAAGGAGAGGAGTAATTCTGAAACAGACAATAAATTCAATGAATTGGGACACTCTTGGCAACCAAACGTGTACCTGGGCATCAAGGCCACCTGAAGCTCTTCTATCTGGTTAACTTATCTCAATCCCTCACTCAACAGTTGAGATGGTGTTTCCTCCCAGAAGCCTTCCTTTTTCCTTAGATTGAATTTGTTGAAAATCTTTATTGGTCTTATTGTACCCTGGGAATAATGCTATCTGCTATTGAAGCAGTTACTCACTGGCTATAAATCTATGTGGTATGCAGAATAATGTGCAGTCATGCCCCTGCTCCCTAATACAACCCCGATGTTTCTACACCCTAGGACCCAGTACCTGTAGATATATTACCCCCCAGGGCAAGAGGGATGTGGCAGTTGTGGTTAAGTCTAAAGACTCTGAGATGAAGGGATTTTTAATAATTCAGAATTCAGAAGAGAAGGCAGGAAGGACTCCATGAAGACTCAACACAATGTTATTGGCTTTGAACATGGGTAAAGAGACCAGTGGTCTCCAGAAGCTAGCAACAGGCCTCACTTCACTGATATCTAACAATCAGGGCTCTCTGGCCCAGCTTCAGGAAAGTGAATGCTGCCAATAACAAGCGTTAGAGGGAAAAAGATTATGGTAAGGAGCCTCCAGTGAGAAACTAGGATGCTTGACATATATTTTACTGACTATAGCTCATAACCTGGATAATTTATGGGAAAATAATATGCCAGATATATGCTCAATATCTCTATCAATAATATTGAGGTAACCATTAATCTGGCTGCCTTCATAACAATTCCTTAACTAGAATCTTTGTTCTTGAACTGGATACCACAATGAAAATACATTAAATAAGGCTCATAACCATAAATGAATACAAGTTAGGCTGTAGCTAGGTACAAAATGTCCATCAACCAGATGGCACAAAGATTTGAAAATATAGTAAAAAATATTTACAGATGGTATTTCAACTACTTAGAAAGTTGGGTGATTTTAAAATATGACATTCAAGAAATGCTTAGCTCAGATTTCCATATCATTCCAAGTTAAAGGAAAAAATCCAAAATAATGTGAGATAAGATAAAGGAAGCATTTGTCTTTTGTATTAATTCAATGAATATTTTATTTTGGTTTTACCTTTTAGAAAAGATTGAAATTCTTTGCCTTTATCTTCACTGATTTTCCCTTCCAGGGAGGAGTGTGTGTTTCTCACATCATTCACAGCCAAAGAAATACTGTCAATCTGCTTCTGGAGAAGAGTCAGTTTCCTTGCCTGAGAGTTCATCTGGTCGGTCATTTTTTGCATCACTGCTGCATAGACAAGGAGAAAAAATTGGCACCCTTTAAAATACATATTAAACTTCTCCAATATCAAGATCGTTTTAAAGGTAATTCAAACCAACTATGCTGGAACTAATGTATTTGAAAATATAGACCACATTGACTTCCCCTAGCAGATGGCAACATGCACGTTAAGTCTTTTTAAGGGCAAAATTTGGTAAAAAGTATTTTAAAAACTTAGAATTCTAAAATGAGACATGGTTTGAATCACTTTAAATAGTAATGATTCTCGGCCCTTTACACTGGCCCTTCAGTAATTTAAGGATTTTACAGTATTTCATAAAGATACTGAATTCCAATCCCTTAAATCAACTAGAGCACAATTTCCAAGGCACATTCACTTGCGTTCTTAGGGAGATTCTCTTTAGTCACATTTCTCAGTGTGCCTGGTTTCATATAACTACACCAATAGCACAGGAGAGACGTGTTCAGTGCTAAGGAATCTATGTCTCCAAAAGCTAAAGCTAACTCTAAGAGAAATGGTATAGCATTTTTTTTTATTGGAAAAGTGAGAAATTAAGTGACATAATACTATAACAACATAAGGTCCTTGTTGGTCTTAATTATGATTTCTCCTAGACAGTAATCAACACCCATTATTGATCTCATATCAAACAACAGAAGGGGGCCTTCCTAGCTCCCTTAAAATGATCAAGTGATTCCTTCCATGTCAAGATTCTCCCATGACTGCATAGTATGAAGGATGCAAATTTGGTTTTAGTTCGGAAACCTGCGATTTCCTTACAAGCTAGTATCACGGCATTTTAAAACTTCTGTGTTTGCACACAGAGCTTCAACAATTATACAAGGTCCTTCTCAGTCTGGAAATCTATATCCAGCTTCTCCCAACATCCAGCACCAAGTACAAAAGGATTGAGAGGTATGTGAATGAGTCACCATCAAATACTTGATAGCCAGGTGATTTGCTGCTGGGAGTTATAATAAATGGTGTACAATGAGTGAGTTAGAGACCATAGTAATTGTGATCATCACCTGCGTCACCATGGTCTTGCTGTTGATGTAGCTGTTGCTCACCAGTCCCTCTGCCAATAGCTGCGCTACTTTCAGCCTGGTTGCTGTGCGCCAATTGCTGCTGTTCCTGGGCTATTCAGAGACAAGCACAGAAGAGCGAGGGTTAAGCATTGGGCCTGCCTCATTTTTTCCAGTCCTGAGTCATAACGTGGCTGACATTCATTTTCCTGTGTGCTGAAGCATGATGGTCTCGGATGATTGCAGAGTAAGCTGCTCCGCCCCCCATCCATGGGGCAAAGTGACACTACGTTGGAGTTAGAAGGGCAGGAGTCTAATTCTGCCTGGAAAAAAATTTAAATTATTCAGGTCTCCTTTAGATGAAAATGGATGGCAGCTTGAGGAGGGGCCCTGAGTAAACTAACTATTGTAAACCGCCTATATAATTGCGAGGAATTTAAAACCGGCTGTGTTAAAAGCTGTAGCAGCTCTATAAAAGGACTACCACAAGAGCCAATTGTTTAACAACGCAATTTGCAACTAGTGACTACTCAGAACTAGTCCTAGATTTTTAATGAATACAAAGTCTCAAATGGACTAAAAGTAAACTGTTACAGACACAACTCAGGGGCATCAATCTATGAGGTAAGCGAAATTTCAGAAAAATAGAAATTCTTAAATAATACACTCATAAAGGATTGCTTCCACTTCCTATGAATCGTCATATTTTAAATGGCAATATAATTTTCCATTGGGAAAAACAATTTAGAGAGATTTATTAAAAGTATTGAATACATCAGTAATATTTGACTGTAATTTACATACTTCTAATAAGCAAATTTATTCAGTGAAATTTGCATATCCGACCTGCCGCATCCTCGTCCTCTTCCTGTGTGAGCAGCAGGATCAGTGCATCTGCACCTCTGGCACCTGCTCATTGCCCTCCCTAAGGCATATGTGGCTGTGACAATGATACCAAAGTTTCTCCACACCACACAAAGTATAAATATTTGGCACTAACTTGGTTGGTCTCAATTGTGAGACTGAATTTTGCATTGCTTTTCTTCTGAACACTGAGCTGAAATAATGAATTTCCATTCATGTCCAAGGTTTTTGTGTTGATGCTGTTTCTTTCTATTTCCCCTTCACTGCATTTTATAAAAACTCTGTGTAATTGCTTATTTGGTGGAAGAAAAGAATCAGCAACTTGGGGAGAAGTGTAATCATTTGGGGCCTAGAGTATGTGGGGGAACAGAGTTAATCTCCTGCTAAAGCCTAGCAATAAGGTTCTTATAATCTAAAGTCAAAGGTATTCATTAAATAATTGCATACTTTTTCTATCATGATTCCTTCTCAGATGGTATAATAAGGCACTTTTCTGGCAATTAAATGTAGTGTTACTAGAGAGAAAGTAGGGGCTCTCAAACCGGGGTTCCTAGCTCACGAGTATTACAATTACCTGGGAACTTTTGGAGCCGCACCTTCTAGGGCCACAACTCATTCTTTGAAAACCCTGTAATGTGGGCAGCAACTGGTGATTTAACAAGCCCCTCATTTAAATCTAAGGCACACTGAAACTTAAGAACTACTGGAGCAAAGTGTCAAAATAAATCCTACTTAGCTACTTCCTACCTCATTTCCTTTCTGTTACCTTTAGCAGTGGAAGAGCATTGGAGACTCTTGGTATTTATAGCAGTAGGGGGAGGAAGGTTTAGCAGGATGAACAATGATCTTTTCATTTTCTTACTGCTTACCTGTGTGAGTGGGATCATAGGAAAAACACAGAGCTAGTGCATTTAAAAGCACTACCGTAACTTGGTAGGCGCTGAATACTTTAGTAAGAAGCAAAGCATGGAAATGGTTAAAACAAAAGCTATTGTTTGGTGGTATACATACAAAGTTACCATTCACATTTCCGTTTCTAACCTTAACTCATAATACATTTTACTTTAAACAAAAAAAATAGTGGGAATAAGAGAGGGAGGAGATGTACAATTTGGGACATGCTCAATCGGACTTGCCCCAAATGGTAGAATTAGAAATGTGCCAGGGGATTCCAATACAATCCCATCAAGATTGCATGTACCAATGCCATCTCACTAGTCCAAGTGATCAATTTCAGTTCACAATTGATCACACTGATAGGTCTAAGAGTCAAAGGGATCACACAAACAAGACTAGTGTCCACTAACACTAACTGGTAGAAAAAGGAGAGAACAATACAACGTGGGAAGCAGGATACACAGCAGACTCATAGAATGGCAGATGTCCTAAGCAGCACTCTGGCCTCAGAATCACCCTTAAGGCATTCAGATCTGGCTGAAGAGCCCATGAGAGTATTTTAGGCATGGAAAGCCAAGACACTCTGGCAAACAAAAACAAAAACAAAAACAAAAACAAAAAAAAACAAAAACAAAAACCTAAATGAAAGATCTCTGTGAGTGAGATCCCAGTGGAAAGAACGGGGCCATCAAAGAAGGAGGTACCTTTCTCTGAAGGGAGGAGAGAACTTCCACTTTGACTATGACCCTGTTTGAATAAGATCGAAGTTGGCGAACTCAAAAGGTTTCCATAGCCTTGGCAACTCATGATTAGAGCCTAGGGAGATTACTGACGCCATAAACAAGAGTGTCAAATTGTTAAGTCAACAACAGGAGTCACTGTGTACTTACTTCTCATGTGGGATCTGTCCTTAATGTGTTGTCCAATGTGAAGTAATGCTATAACTAGTACTGAAACAGTATTTTACACTTTGTGTTTCTGTGTGGGTGCAAACTGATGAAATCTTTACTTAATATATACTAAATTGATCTTCTGTATATAAAGAGAATTGAAAATGAATCTTGATGTGAATGGAATGGGAGAGGGAGCGGGAGATGGGAGGGGTGCGAGTGGGAGGGAAGTTATGGGGGAGAGGAAGCTGTTGTAATCCATAAACTGTGCATTGGAAATTTATATTTACTAAATAAAAGTTAAAAAAATTGCTTTGGGATACTGGTTTTCATCATGGGGGAGAGTCAGAAGCACCTGTAAACCCTGAAACACTAACACTGTCTATGTTCTTTCCATTTCCCCATCTGAGATTTCTCATTCTGTAGATCTATTGTGGAGAAGTGGGCACATGTGTATTTCTTTCTAACTCTACAAGTGATTTGGATGCATGGTCCTGATTAAGAATCACCAGTTAAGAATAAATTGTGGGGCAAGCGCTGCGGCTCACTAGACTAATCCTCCGCCTTGCGGCGCCGGCACACCGGGTTCTAGTCCCGGTCAGGGCGCCGGATTCTGTCCCGGTTGCCCCTCTTCCAGGCCAGCTCTCTGCTGTGGCCCGGGAGTGCAGTGGAGGATGGCCCAAGTACTTGGGCCCTGCACCCCATGGGAGACCAGGAGAAGCAGCTGGCTCCTGCCATAGGGTCAGCGCGGTGCGCTGGCCGCAGCGCACCGGCCACAGCGGCATTGGAGGGTGAACCAATGGCAAAGGAAGACCTTTCTCTCTCTCTCTCTCTCTCTCTCTCTCTCTCACTGTCCACTCTGCCTGTCAAAAAAAAAATTAAAAAAAGAAAAAAAAAGAAGAAGAATAAATTGTGAAGGTTTCTAATTTTAATAAGTAGTTTCATTGTTATAAGGCAGGAAATGCCAGCTATTTTTATAGTAAGATTATAATACAGAAGTTGATCTTTACAGATTTTTGAAGAGCATGCCCATTGACAAACCAGGTACACATTAAAGATCTAACAAATGAAAACCTCCACTCTTCCACAATTCCATAAATCAGTGGGTGGTTATAAAGTGGAGTGGAATAGGAGGGGAAAGTGGCTTTGATAGCTTTTTGATTCTCTCATGTAGATAAGCGCCATTCTATGTTATTACAACACAGACCCCTGAAGAAGCACTGCTAAGCATTGAAGCCTACATACAAAGAGTATTGTCACTGTCTTCTGGTCAATCAAATCTAGAACTCACTGCCAATTTTAGAATATCTCAGAAATAAAATCTCCTTTCCACTTGAGAGCTGAGCTCACTTCCACCATGAACATTACACATTCCCCAACTCCAAGATTATTTTTAGCCATTATGAATGATGTGGCCCACCAGTGGCTAAAATACATGAAATTCAGCCATACATGATGTCAAATGTATAATGATAAAGTATAATAACTGATAATATCAATAGATAGAATTAAAAAGGAATGTTCCAACATGGGAAGCTAGAATTAAAAAGAGAGAATGTTCAAACATGGGAAGCAGTCCACACAGCAGACTCATAGAATGACAAACACCCTAAACAGCACTCTGACCTCAGAATCAACCCTTAAGGCATTTGGATCTGGCTGAAAAGCCCATGAGAGCATTTCAGGCACGGAAAGCTGTGAGAGGCCAGAACCACGCCATGACAGGCTTCTCACAAGACAAAGGAATTGGCTAGGCCCAGGATGCTCCCTGGAAGATGAAACCTGACACTGGACAGTTCTTGGTCCCACAGGGCCAGGTGGGGGCAACCAATAATGTGGGCCGTCCTTGGTCCAGCAGGGCCAGGGGAAAGAAGGATTGCGGACATAATGCTTGTTTCCCCGGGGACTATAAAAACCCCGGGAACAAAGAAAAGACGGTCTTGGTCTCCCAGCACTGCGTGGGAGGCCAGGCCCCAGAATACTGTACCTACAAATAAAGTCCCTTTGTTCTTTGCATTTCGGTGAGTCTTGCTGGTTCTTTCTTTCTGGGCGATCCAGAACACAACAAAGCCAAGACATTATGGCAAAAAAAATGATATACTTGAAGGATCTCTGTGAGTGAGAACCCAGTTGCAAAAAGTGGCCATCAAAGAAGGATGTACTTTTCTCTGAAGGGAGGAGAGAATTTCCACTTTGCTTCTGGCCCTGTCTAAATAACCAATGGAGTTTGTGGACTCAGAAGGCTTCCAGAGCCTTGGTAGCTCATGGCAAGAGCCTCGGTTGATCACTGATGTCATACATAAGAGTGTCAATAGTTAAGTCAACAACAGGAGTCACTGTGCACTTACTCCCCATGTAGGACCTCTGTCCTTAATGAGTTGTACTGAGAATTAACTGTAAAACTTGTTTTTAAACAGTACTTTATACTTTGTGTGTCTGTGTGGGTGCAAATTGTGGAAATAT